TGGCAGAATTAAACGAAAAAAGAGAAACTCGACCTTATATTGGCGGAATATAATGATAAAAAAGGAAAATCGGGTTACTAAAAATGTAAAAATAGGTTATTATTAAAAGTAATGACAAAAAGACCTCTAAAGACAGTTCTGTTCCTGTGAAACCTCCTAAATTGAAAGATTTTGTACATGTACAATTGCTGGCTGACGCCCCGATATGGAGACAACGCAGAACATGAAAATACATTTATTGTAAACATAGCAATTCACTGTCGCCACCGTCCATATTACTTTCCTCTTCATTAGAGAAACCACTAGCATTCGATTCTTCATCATCTACTTATTAAGGAACTGTGACCCATCGACCCTTTTGTTCATTAGCTTTATTCTGTTCAAGCCGCATGAAGATAAAGTTCTAGAAGAATCCAGAAACGTCTCACAGATAGGGACCAATCACATCTGACGAATGCTCTATGAATTGAAGCAAAGTTTAGCATCCCAGGCATTTGTCTAGAGGAAGTCGGAGCGTTCACCGGAATCGTAACTTCGCCTGGCCCTACACCCCCTCCCGTCTAACAGTTGATTGGTTCCTGCCCCCTATAACTGTTGCTTGCTTTTCGTTGACCGTTTATCTCTGACGATGGACTCTTGCAAGAGCCCGAAAGCTCAGATGAATAAATTTACGATTCCGGTGAACGCTCCGACTTCTTCTAGAATGCTCAATGGCCACAGCCCAGGCGGGACGCCGTCGAGCGCACGCTAATAGCATGCAGCGTGGGAGATGCGTACGAATGCTTATCTGTCAGATTGGCTCATCATGGGAATGGGGGCATTCGCAACACTTTTCAAAAATACGCCACAGAAATAAAGTGCTAGTCAGAGGTCAGCTTATCTTAAAATGACTCCTAAAATGATATGCATTTTACCAATAATATTCGATACCCTTAAAAATTTAAGCAGGCTCTGAACAAAAAGTGCAGAAAAATGTTCTCGGTTTTAATAGTCTTCCAAAATTTCTGCTCGAAGGGACGATATCTTTTAGTTTCAAGAAGTTTTGATCCCCCGAGTAATTTTGAATCCGATCTGTTGTTGAACCAGCGTTAAGGGGCTTGAAACTGCATATTTTACATTGAAGACGTTTCTTTACCCGATGAGAAAGATATATAATAGGCTTCAAATATTTTTTAAGTTGACGTGGGCCATGTGACATTAATAAATACATAGATAAGATTATATTTGATTAGACCTTTAATGATGTTAAAAAATTGCATAATTAAGAGCGTTTTAAAATGAAAAACTACTTTTTTTCGAGTAGAAGACGTAGTCTGGCACCAAAAGGGGTGCAGGAAGCTGTGTTTTTGTGCATTCCATCTATAAAATACGCCCAAATCAGGACGAAGAATATTTAGTTGTACTATCAATATCAATAGAAAGAATGAATAAGACTTAAGTTGTTCGTCCACCTTGGATATCCCTAGCCTCTATTTCGATGGTTAGCTTTAGTTTTATTAGTTTTCAGTTCGTTTAGTCTAAGTTTTTGTTTATTATTTTATACTAAATTGAACTAACTATAGTTACTTCAGTTTAGTATATAGCAGTTAGTGTTGCTTAGTTTATAAACTAAAAACTAAACTAATACAACCGGTCCCGTAGGACAGAAGGCTGGGTCTAGGGCTATCTAACTAGAAGAGCAACTTAATTTTTACCGAAACAATGCATACTACTGAAGTAGCCATTGAACAACGAGTGAGCTTTTGGGCGATCGAGAAGACGCGCGAGCGCAAAATTTAGATTGTCAGGTGTCATTAGTTTTAATGCGACGGAGGCTTAAAAGGATAGTTGTCAAAATCAGATAGGACAAGTAGTGAAGTAACAAGAAAGTTTTTTTAAAGAAATGCTTATTTTACGCGGCACAAGTTTAGGCTTTAGCGCTCAAACTCAGTCATGACTTTTGGCTAGAATGGTGGCTTTCAAAGTTTATTGCCCATCAAAAGTCGAAAAAAAGCAGGTATGTGAAGCTGGCCATCTTTAGGTTACGTTTCCTACTACAGCACATCTAGGTTGTTGTCGTTGACCATTCTTTGTGCTTCGAGACCACACACACTAGAAATACTAGAATACAGCAATGCCAACCTAACAGCAAGAGTACTCGCCTAAAGCAAAATTAGTTAATTTTTACAAAGGCAGCACGCAAGTACAAGTAAGTACGCAATTCTAAGTGACCACGCTGAGTTGAGCCCCAAAACGGCTGCAAGTTACTGACACTTCAAATAAAAACATGAAAAATACCTCGCCAAATATTGTGGTGAACTGAAGACGGAATTGAGCACGCATTTCCAAAATAACACCCACTGAAGCTGGCTGTCCGGGACAAACACCGATGAACCGAATAACAGGTGATAATTGTTTCGTGACATTGTCCAGACTAGAGGCGGTAGAGTCATTAGCAAATGACGCCGAAACACATTTAAGCGCTGTTTCTGTACCGGAACCGTTTGAATCCTCGTAGGCGAATGTGGTGTTCAGTCCAGGTACTAAGAAAAAAGTTAAAAAAGCTTTACTGAGACCGTGTTTGTAACCTCAAACCTTGCAGACAGGTGGCATATAGCAATATCTGCTTACATATGAGGTGTAAAGCCTTCGTGGATTAATACAATTTAACGGTAATCAATAAGCTATTGCAAGCCATTACTTGAGGTAAAGTTAATTCGATTGGTGTAAGGGGCAGAGAGAAGTGCATACCGAGAAGCGCTACGAGGAGACAGTGAAATAAACCTGTGGACGGCAGACGGAAGACCATTAAAATGCCGTGAGGGGTCGAAAAAAACGTGTGTAGGTACGTCCTGGTAGGCCGCCGATTTTCTATGAGAGTTGAGAAACACACAGTAGAAGGTCTGACAGAAATTTGGAGACAAATACTTCAATTAATAAAAATTAAATAATAAGAGTGTTCATTTAGCCACCCCGAGCGTGAAACTCTACGTACAAGACGCCTGAAGGTCGCGACATTTCTACAGCCCAGCACGACCGAGACCTTACGTGAAGAAGGCAGGATCTAGTAGAAATCACTGAAATTATCAGTCTATAGGGCA